CAACCTCAAGGCTGATCAAGCCGAGCTGCTTAAGAATTATTGGCCAGTTGCCAATTTACCATTTGTCTCTAAGGTTCTTGAGAAGGTGGTTGCGCAACAACTGACTAATCATATGACTAGGTTTACGTTACATGAACTTTTTCAATCAGCATATAAGCGCTACCATGGGGCGGAAACGGCTCTTGCCCGCATTCAAAATGACATTTGGAAAAATATGGATGAGGGCAAACTTTCCATTCTGGTTTTTCTTGATCTAAGTGCTGCTTTTGATATGCTTGATCATGACATTTTGCTTCAGCGATTAAGGACACATGTTGGAGTCTCACAAAATACCTTTGACTGGTTTTCTTCTTATCTTAGAGACCGTTTACAAAGAGTTCAGACTCGGTCTTTATCGCCTGATGATCGGAGTAGATTGGATGTTGGAACCATGAGTGACACCTATACACTTAAGTATGGTGTCCCCCAGGGCTCTGTACTCAGACCACTTTTATTCAATGTGTATATGTTGCCATTAGGGAATGTTATTAGGCATCATGGACTGAGTTGTCATTTTTATGCAGATGACACTCAGTTGTATTTGTCAGCACAGCCAACTGCCAGTGACATACAGCAACAAGTGTCAGTTTTAGAAAAATGCTGTGACGACATCAGATGTTGAATGGCGATTAATTTTTTGAAGCTAAATGATGATAAAACAAATCTGATTATCATTGGATTGCATATGTCGTTGAGCAGAATTCCTAGGACTGTTGTGGATATGGGTAATCACAATATTACTGCACTCTCTGGGAGTGATTTTTGATAACAAAATGAATATGCAATTCCACATCAAGAATGTCTCTCGCACTGCAATGTATCACCTGTACAATATAAGCAAAATTAAGTGTTATTTGGGTCAGTCAGCCACGGTGCAGATTATTCATGCACTTGTTACGTCTCGCATTAACCATTGTAACTCTGTTTTAATTGGTCTATTGGCATCAGCCCTTGCTCCTTTGTAGAGAGTCCAGAATGCTGCAGCAAGACTACTCACTAATGGCAAGAAATTTGACCACGCTACTCCTGCGCTGATGCAATTACATTGGTTGCCAGTAAAATACAGGGTAATTTTTAAAGTGTGTCTCCTGATATTCAAATGTCTTCACGACAGTGCTCCAAGTTATTTAAGTGATTTGCTTGATGTTAGGATTCCGGCGATTCACCAGTTCCGCATTGGACACGTCTAGGCTTACTCTCCCAAAAACTAGGCTGTCTTCTGCTTGCGAGAGAATGTTTTGTGTGGCTGGCCCCCGTCTCTGGAACCAGCTTGAAGTTCAACTTAGAGATTCTAGGAATGTGGAGTGTTTTAAGACCAGGCTGGAGACGCACCTTTTTAAACAAGCATTTTTAGTTTCTTAGTATTGGTTTTAACTATTGTACATGTAAGTTTCATTTACAGTATTTCTTTATTCATTCATTCAGTTATGTATTTCTTTATTTATACTTATACTGATGTACAGCGCCTGGGAGCAGCTTGATGGATTGGGCGCTTTATATGTCAATTATTATTATTATCATTATTATGCATGCCTTTTCATATGTTGTGTGCATTACTAACCATAACCCGGCTGAGTCATCTACGCTCGACCATGGCTCGACCAACCCTCGCCGTAGACGGGCCGCGCATGCCACACTGCAGATACATGTACAGTACAGTACCTGCACGTCCGTTTGTGTACATGTACATGTCTCCTGACGCCTACAGACATAGCATACTGTCCAAAACATTGAGGGTACAGTCCAATAATTCAAGTCCCTTTGAAAACAGCATAAAAATCAGCACTGTTCAGGGCCCAATAAATGCACGCCAACATCCCTGAGATTTCTGAAACACAAATGAAATTCTTGTCTGGTCACTAATCTTTCAATTTCTTTTCAGTTTTTTGTGGGTTAACCAATTACATTTTTAATTATTCCCACAAGACAAAATCACCCCCGAAAAAATGATTTTTCCGAAGTCTGATTGCAGCCATTTTTCAAGTGGCAACCCTCAATTTTCTCGAGCAATTAGGGCCATTTTTAACCGTAGTTTTTAGGCATTCTGCTCGCATATGAAAGCTCAAAGACCCGGGCAGTTGATCCTGGCAACTCACCATTTGGGGGGCCAAATAATCTCCTTTTTCAAAAGATACTGTGGGGGCACTTTTAATGCTAATGAGCTGGCCCGAAATTCTCACTTGAATTAGTGGTCTACACCCTCGAGCACCACATACGCAAAGAGAGATACATGTACATGTATATTCCTGGAGCTACCCTAAATTTATCCAGTTTGCTTGCTACCTCCACCATGAGAAGCTACAAATCTCATCTTACATAAAGATGTACATGTACAAGTTGAATTTACCGCTTGAACAGTTCCAGATGTTGACATCAGCTTTCAGTTTATTTTAATCTGGTTCTTTGACACCTTTTTAGTGATTCTTGCCACAATCACGATGTCAAATTTTAATCACATATTTAAGATTGAAGACGGATGTTAAGAAAAAAGTACATGCTGATGGCAATCATCTTTTTAAATAAATTATGACAATCTGATTTCACACATGTAAATGAAAGTCAAAACGTATCATTATGATCTTAGGCCTACAGTGCGTGAAAACTTCATTGCTCTGGTTGTGTTGTTAAAATAATTTGAACATTTGCGTAAGTTCAAGAAATGTACAATTCACCTCACTTTTTGATCACTTAGCAGTAATATGTTGCACCTTTAAAAAAACAACAACAACAAATGCTTAGAGATAGTGATTTGATGAAGCATGTTGTAGATAGTACAATTCAATACTGTGGAAGTGTGGATTCCATTGCTGGCTCTTTAGGGCTTGGATAATTCTGAACACTCCCGCCCGTACACTCATGTGATTATTTATAAAAGCCGACTATTTTTATTTTACAAATTTTATGGGGTCTTTAGAATTTTCTATTTAAAAACTGCAATCAATCGTTTTTCACTGTTGTGTTATGGTTCTGGACTTTCAATATCCGATGAACAGTATTTTTATTCGAGTGTTGATCTTTGCTGCAATACTCCCCAAAACATCCTAAAATGACTTTTCCACTACTACATGTAACTCCTGCTTAAACGTTCACTAACAATTTCCATCCGACATATTAGATCTTGCCCCTACATGTATGTTTTGGAAGCAACTTAACTTTTATTTCCGCATCCGCTTACAATTTATTCAGTAAACTGCAGACCGACATTGCTTTTGGTGATATTTTCCTTTAGTTTACATTTTTCTTTGTGGTTTCTGTGTGAATGTTCCGTATTTTTTCAAAAATAATTATATTCACCATCCACTGCAACACAGATTCCACATTGCACGTATTCATACTTGCATAGCTGTTATGTGTGCTATTTTTGGTACTAGAGGCATAGATGTTATACATTTCGGAGAAAGACGTGGCAAAAATCAAGATAATAATGTCCACAATACTGGCGCGTGGGCCGCATGAAATGTTAAAAAACTTCATTGAACTGTGCATGTACACACGTGCAGACTTTTTCAGGGCACACAACCAAGTTGCAGTATGTCCTTGTGGTACATGTACGTACATGTTCAGTCATGCAGTATGGCTGGCATTCGTCTCGATTTATTGCTTCACTCTTTAAATGTTGTTTTCACTACTCGATGACGAAACTACTTTTGAAACATGTTACTTGGGCTGAACCAACATTTAACATGACCACGACTATTCAGGCTAAGCTTTTATAAATGTTCAAATCACATTTTTATGTTCCAAAAAATGGCCATCAAATTTTAAGATGTGATTTTCTTTTACTTTTTCAGTGAGTACACTGCTTTAATAGTTTCGGACCTTTATGTTAGTTGGGTTAAGTCTCCTGGTCCTTTGACACCTTTGTTTAGTTTTTGATCCTTACCAAAACCACGAAGATGTCAAATTTTCATCAGGTGGTCAAGTGGGACTTTAACCAACAGAAAGAATTAGTAAACCTTTATTACAATACTCTGATTTTTTTGTTAATTGGGAATTACAATTACAAAAATGAGCAGAAGAAAATATGAATTATTTAAAAGTCATGTAACGTGGCAGGAAGGGGGAAATGGAAATGTGTAATGGCAGTGGTAGGTCACAATGTTAGTTACAATGTTAGTCATGTTAATGCAAATAAAATGAAAGAAAACATTTAATGCCGCTTTAGCTGAACATGAAAATAGGAACAATATTGTTGGTGAGGAAGTACCAAACAGTTGAATTGATCTCATGTTGTAAAGTGAACAAGTAAATCAAGAAAATCTTTGCATTGCCAGAAACTGCTAACAATGGCAAATTTTTATATTCCTGAAAATTCGCGATTATGAAAACTGAAGATTAATTTCTTAATTTGGGAAAAATAACACTGTAGGTTGACCACTTTCAATTCCCATTTACAATCCTGCACTTCATATCCTAATACACTTCTGCCAAAATTCTTGAATGATTTACTTCAGCTCGTTTAAGTCAACTATATAGCTTTAATCACAAATTGTCTTCCTGCAATGAAAATTACTATGGCAGTAGCACAGTATTGCTGGAGAAATTCTTGTCTCTTTCACAGCTTGAACTTGAAATAATGCTGCAAAAAAGCAATCTGCTATCAGACTCAGGGTAGCCCAGACGTCGTACTATACATGAACGAACTGAAGCTCACCCGTCCTGCATGCAGAGTGAACAACGGTGGAAGTCCACACGTGAGAATACGTGTAAGCCGTGATAGTTAAAGGAAAACAAGACCGCGCCTGCCGTGCGTGGAGCTGTCAAATAAAATAGTCGGCAATCATGGCTGTGTGGAAGCTAACTTGATGGAAGAATCACACTGGAAACCAACAATATTCAGAAACAATGATCATCGAAGGAAATGAAAAGTATTCATACATTTTATGAAAGAAAATGATGAAACAATATTCACGTTGTACATCACAGGTAAAAACATCGAGGTAGGCTATATTAGAAGACATGGAAACGATCATATGGATCTACAGAAAATCAATATATAAATTTGACAGACATAGACTGTAGCTCGATTTTACCGCGCAAATTTCATGCTGTTTAATGACACCATTTGCCAAAACAGCCTGTTCGGATGATATTGATGCCCGTTCAGATGGTATTGACGCCCGTTCGGACGGTATTGACATCGTATGCTATGCACCTTCAGTGACCTTACATAGCCCAGACAAAACAGGCGGTACTTCATCTGATCATCCTTCCAAGAAAATATTGATAGTTTGGGATAATCAAACTGAATTCAAAAGACAGATATCCATAATTCACCTGCACATGTTACATACATGTACATGATCAAGTCAGTCCATTTTTCATGAACGTATGTGTAGGCTTACAGTACTTCTAGTGGAGTGTCAAGATCGCCATTGTGTAATGTGATTAACTTTAAATAGCGGTGGTGTGTAAACAGTGATGATTAGCGGTAAACAAACGAAATTGTGCTTTTATTGTCAGGACGAAATGGTGACAATTAAACATGAAACTGAACATTATTAAACCGTAAATACTGTCACTTGAAAATCATTTTCCATGCACTGACGTAGGTTACATGGAAAGGCAAGCTGAGGAAATTGGAGCAGGCGTCCTATACCGTATTCGGTGCCCTTGAAAATTTTTTCCAAAGAAAAGAATGTCCACGCAAGCCAGGGTGGATAACGTGAAAATCAAAGCCACCCAAGCCTGAAAATCTAGCTACTAAACATTGGTATTTTGGGGGCCTGCATGATTCACGCAGGAGTCCAGACAATTTAAAACGATACTGTACTCACAGTCTACCGGTATTGTTTATTGTTTATACTGGAAAGCCCTTCTCTATCGCGCATGTGGTGGTGTATTTTGTTGCAAATAAAATGCAGTCTCACAAAAGTAAAAAAAGTTTTAAAATAGGAATTACATGTACATGTGCTCCCTCGCACATTTCCTTTTCATGCTGTATCTGAACTTATTTTTGGCCATTCGTTATTGATCCAACCTCAAAAATTACTCGGAAAACTTAAAATTCATTTAGGCATGTTTGACAACACTAGTAAATTTGGCTACATTCACAAACCCCTTTCCAGGTATTTTTTCATTATGAAAAGGAATGTTTCAACAATAAACGGCTAACAATGCTTCACCTTGCAAGTTTCCCACGTTTTTCATTCAATTATTTGGTATACACTGTACTTCTATTAAGCTTACTACACAACTTCGGGGGGGAAAAAAGACAACTTAAGGCCCCGGTCTACTTCTTTTCAAGTTGTGTTTGGCAAAGTGTGAAGCACTGGCAAATTTCGCAACACATTTGTAAATTCACGCTGTGAAAGGGAAGGTACAACATCGATTAAATTAAAAATCATTCTGGCCTACTGTCCAAGTTCAAAAGAAATCAGTGATTTGTGATTGTTTCATTCTCATGGGTAAAGAAAGGTTTCCACGCAATCTCCAAAATCAATCAGACTTGCCGGGAAAACTTCTGTGGACAAAGCAAAGTGCCTAACAACATCAAGAGCTTTGAATGCCTCATGGATACAAGGATCACTGGGGACCTCATCAACACTGCCAGTGGGTTCAACATCTTCAACCTCCGTATCCGAGTTGGTATTTGTGGACCTCACAGAGTCAATGATCTCCTCATCCGTGAGCTGCTGGGTGTTACCTCCAAGTGATGGTATCCTGTCCTGGCCGAGGATGTCCACTAGATTGTCCTAGATACTGACGTGCTTCTCCTTCATTTTGCAGCAGAGCATCATTGATAGATGGAGTTTCTGCTGGACCTGTCTCATCAGGGCGAACATATCCAACTCCTCGGAAGCAGTTAGGCAACAGTAGCTTGACTGACCTGACGCCATGCATTCTTGACAGCAAAAAGGGCGTCAAGGAGATCCCATTTGAAGGGGGAATTTCCCTCAGCTGCCTCCAGGTGATGGGTTGTCAGAGTCCTTCGGTGGTGAAAGTTCTCGATGACACCACCATCCATCGGTTGGGTACAGCTTGTGGTATTCGGCAGTAGAAATACCAGTTCGATGTTGTCGAACGTGACGTACATTTTTGAATGTACATGGTTTTTTACTCTTGTCAATGACATACATGGGGAGCTTGTCCAAGCCATCCATGTTCGCACAAACGAGCAGAGTTACGTGTGCTCTGTTTTCCGGGAGCATTTGCCAGAAGAGGCCAGTTTCATCGGCATTATTAATGTCCTCTGGTTGGTACTTCTCTAGTAGTCGTTGCAGATGCCTTTCTTTCCAATAGTTGAATAGGGCCCTGTCGACACTGCCGGATTCACCTTTCTCAACTCTGCTGATTCCCCATCGGGCCTTGAAACACTCAATCCAACTTGGGGTGAGATTGTCTGGTTCATCGTCGCCAAAATCAGCTGCGAATTTCCGTGCCTGAAGTAACGATTCAAATATCAGGCAAACTGGATTTCTGCCCAAACCATGTGATGAGGGCAGAATTCACGCGCTTTATACCGCCCTTCCTGGCATCAGATTTTCCACAGCTTCAATGATCTTTGTCCTTGTTCTTCAGGATGTTGAACAAGGTTCCTCAGGGAATGCCAAACTTCTGAGCCAGATCCACCTTTTGCATCCCAGGATTGTCTTCGCAAAACTTAACGATCTCGTACTTTTCTTTCTACGTTTTTGTCCCTAGTTCGCATTTCACTGAGCTTAATTTTGAGGCCATGATTTCTTTGTTTTACTGAATGAACAAGCATGTGTATGCTTATAATATACAAACTGTATATTGACTGCACGAAACAAGGGGATTTTAGTGTACTCATGCTGGCCGATTATCAACCACGGCCTGTATGTGCTGCTAATAAACAGACATCAGTCAAGCAGTGTGGGACTCATCATGAAACTGATACCGAAGCATGATTTTTTTAACCGACTAACACAAAAGGAATTTTTGTGGTTTTGTGGAAAAGGGACCAAGAAAAACATGCCGACATATACGAAATGACAACTTGTAAATACCGTCTTAGAAATGATATTTTCAATTGAAATGCATTAGAGATGATCGGGACTTTTGTGAAACAGTCGACTTGGACGGTATGACAGGTTACACGATGTCGACTTAGTCAGTGTTTACTGTACATGTATATTCCCTATACACTGTGCGCTGTTAGCCACACGTTACAGGCAAATATTGCACATCTACGTACACGTATGGTAGCTAACGCACAGTATGCGAAAGGGATTTTCAAGTTCACAAATATTGTGGGTTTTCGTCGTCGGCGCTTCATCTGTGTGAAGGACACCACTTATGCACTTCATGCAGTTGACTTCAATGTTTTAGCTATCATCTAATTAACAATTTACGCTTAAATCTGTTACGGTTGATTTTTTACTGGGTTTTGAGGAATAAAAGAAATTTTTATCATAACTTCCAATCTGATGACGACATTGGCCCCAAATTTCACACGTGTTAATTGGGTGAAGATCATTAGCTACAACAATTTTCAGGCGATTCAGGCAAACTTTGCCACAGACATCTATTCAAACTTCATTTTTTACAATATTTAAACTGATGCTAGAGGACACTCAACAATGAGTAGATGATTTGAATATAAACTATACCCCAACAGACTAACACCGTTGAAAACAGCTTGATGCCTACCTACTGTACATGTAACACCACTTTTAAGCAATAAGCCCACTTCTGGTTTCGACTGGAAGGGTCACGTGATTTGACCAACATGAGATGAATTGAAAACTGAATTTTACTCTGGCACTTGAGGCCACAGTTGATTTTAGATGGACTCTAGAACATCAACATAATGTCAAAATTTAATAATAAATCACTTAGTGATGTCATCACAATGTAATTATTTTAGTATTACAGGTATCTTTGTTTTCAGGTCTTTCCTTTGTTTAACTTTGAGGATAACTGAAGATCGCTAAGTTACCAAAATTGGGCCTTGAAAATGTATACAAAGTAAATGGGCTGAAATAAATATTAAAATTTCAATAAAAAATCACTTCATGATGTCATCATGAGGTCATAGTTCTATGCACATCTTTGAAGTAAGGTCCTTCATTAATGTATACAGTATGATGAAGATCCCAAGTTGCAAAAGGACCAAAGTCGATGGTGGAAGAAATGTGCACAAAAAATGGGCTTTTGGTCAGAAGAGGAAGACGACAAAGAAGGAAGAAAAAATACAAGAACAAAAAGAATGACTTTTTTGCAAAATTGGGAGAATGCCCAAAAAAAGAACTAGAATGGTAAAGCCGCCATGGCTCGCTGCTTGTTATGAATTTGAATTTCTTTCTTGTAATAGCAGGAAAAAGGCATCCAAGTTAAATCAAACAAGTAAATACTAACAAAGCTTCATCGAATTTTTTTACAAGATTGGTTGACATACGACTGCAATATAGATGTACATGTACAAGCTATTTTATGGACCTTAGCAATACAATTCATTGTACTTTAGGAGAAAAAAACCTAGTCAGTGCTGCGGGCAGACTGTGTGTTGAAGGGCGCCTGTCATTTAATAGTAAATCAACAAAGTCCACCACCAAGGGAGATACAGGTACAAAGGCTTCACAGTTCTTTACAGGAAAGAGGAATGCTCATAGAAAATGGGTCCAGCTAGTACAGTCACACTAGACCTGGATGATTACATAAGCAGTGCATTTGTGAGTTTGACAGATGGTGCATAATTAAAATTCTTCTCAAGTACTGGGTTTATGTACAGTTCTGCACTTTGTATCCAACCCCTTCATCCTATCCATTTCCTAATCTGCCCTCTCCCCATCATCCTATCCATCTCCTACTCTGCCCCTCCCCATCACCCTATCTATCTCCTACTCCACCCTTGCCCATCACTCCCTTCACTTCTTACTCTGGCTGTCCTATTATCCCACTAATCCAGCCCAACTGTTACACCAACCTTATCCAGCATTTCATCTGCATTCTATAAACATGTACTTTGTCCCCATCCTCCTCCTCCAGATATCCCTCCCCCCAACAAACATACATGTACTAATCTGTCACTTAAAGTCCCTCCCCCATCCCTTACATTTTCCCCACATATTGTACATGTATGTACATTTGTATGTGTCAGAACACGGTCTATACATACATGTACATTACGGGAGTGCTCAGCACATATGTACTGTATGTACATGTATGTACTACAGGGCAAGTACACATTACAACTCAAAACTTTAACATTCAACGTTTATAATTTTTTTCATTAAATTCATAAGTTTCTAAGCATTAATGCCATATGAGACTATTTAAATACTGATGGAATTCCAAGAAGCAAACAAGCACTCAATGGCGCATTTTAACACCTATAGACCTGCAAGGAAAAACATTTGAGGGCGGATGGTCGGACGCCCCGATGGACGGATGGACGCCCGGCCCGACGGACAGAAGATGGAAATCGGTATTCCATAGGCTCGCACTTGCTTTGCAGCTCGCCAAAAATATAATCAATAAAAAGAATTTAATGTAAATTGAATTTCTTAACATTTATGACATATGAATGGAAAGAATAGTCCAAACTCAAAAAATAAAGGAGAGCAAGACTTGGAAATACAGAATGACATACCCTGTTGTCACACTGGATCCTGTTGCACCTACTGGTCTTACTGTGAGGTCTCCAACAGACAGTAGTTTAGTATCCTGGCTCGATGTCCCTTCAATATGACTTATAGGTGGTGGGGTACCAGCAGGCCCACTTACACTAACACGACGTTGCCTTTGATGAAATACACTGTACTGTCCAGTTTTTCGTTCCTGTTAACAGAAAAATGGATGTACGACAAGAGTCAAAATCATGCAGCTGCTAAACACAAAATGTTGCAAAGCACAGAAAAATACTGTTTTACCCTCCCACCAAAAAATCAATGCAACAAAAGTATGTATCAGTGGTTTTCAGCTGATTTGTCCATGTGCATATTTATGCCATACAACGATTTCAGCCGGTACCTCAACGGTCATTTTGTGTGGAACAGAGTTACTTCACAAAGAAAGGTACCATAACTTATTGCTCATATTTGGAAATGACACACCCTCATTTTGTCAAAATACTGACCAAAGTAAAAACCTGAGGAATGATAAATTTGATACCAAGAAATGACGGTAAACTTGCAAAACAACCATACAGTATACGTACATGTTATCTTTAAGGGATGGAGTCTCAACATGAATTAAACATCTTGTCAGCAAATTCTGAGTTTTTCATTTAATACAGAAACCTTTGAAGTATTCCTCTGTGGCCAAGGAATGATCACAATACTGTTACATGTACATGTAAGTCTTTATTTCGAAAATCTATCAATTCCTTTTAAAGAGTAACTGATTGGTAAGCATGCGATTTGTGACCTTATATAAGACGTGGCTAACCTGAGGATTAGTATCTTCCATTCTGTCATGAAAAGCAAATATTGTCGATTGATTCTCTGCAGCATGACATTCTTCATTCCTCTGACTGACTGTTCCTTTAGCCTCCTTGCAGGTTTCCATAGCATGACTCTGGTCAGTGGTACGGAATTTTTGAAGCGATGCATGACCAGTATCTTTTGAAGTCTTGGGTGACCGTGGGCTGGCTTTACATTCCATTTGTACTTCTGCTTCCTGTAACTGTTGTTTCTCACTCTCATTCATTTTAGCATCTGCTTTAAAAAGGTTTTCAGAACAGCTTCTTAGTTTTAGGTCTCTACTATGACTAACATCTTGGCTATCAGTTCTACATCTGTTTGAATCAGCAGATCTTGATGGTGTTGGACTAAACCCATCATCCCTGCAACCAACATATTTCTTAGGAATCTTGTTAAACTCTGAATCACTAGAGCTTGAGTCGCTGGCTGAAGATTCTTCTCTTGTCACCTTTCGATGGTTCTTGCTGTTCCTTTTACTGCGTAGCTTGCCTGACATATCAAGGTGATCTTTCTCCAGGGTTGGATCATCTGTCAGACTACCAGATGTTGAACTATATGGACTTCTTTTTCTTTTCTTAGAGTCAGTTTTGTTATTGTCAGCAGACTGCATCTCAACACAAACCTTGCCTTCGGTAACTTCACAGTGATCCTCTGAATCAGATGCTACATTTTTTTCATCTGCTTTAGAGTTTTTAGGTGATATCTGTAGGCATGATTGCACACTACTCGATATTGCACTGATGCCTGCTGTGAATTCTGTTGGAAGTGTTTCACAATCTTCACATTGCAATTTCTCACTTTCACTCACATTAATGTCTTTGCTTTGTTCCTGTGATGACCTATCCCGATCGCTTCTCTGATTTGTGTCAAGGGACAATGTGTCAAGAGTGGATAGAGGCTTTATTGAGGGGATGTCATCTAGTGTATGGTTTGTGTTACTTGTTGATGCCTCATCAGCGGTAGAGGTTTGTTTCTTTGCTTTGATTTGAGATGTCATTGCATCTTTCAGTCGTCGCTGAATTGCAGCACTTGCTGCATGTTCAGTTGAAGTTCTCTGCAATGAGCTGAAGTGGGAAGTCTGCAAAGCAAAGGTCAAATTAATATTTCTAAAATCAAACGCTTTCAATTTCTATAGTATACAAAACAACTGTCACCAATGTGAAATTAATAAAAAAAAAAGCTGAATAAGCTTCAAGGGATGAACAGACTCTTTTTCCTTTACTACTTAAAAGAACCCCCCCAAAAAACCCTAATTTTGTCAAGTGCTCATTTTCAATGCCATAAGTTCCTACACACTGTATATCACTGAAACACAATGCTTGGATGCACATGTATCTCCATCTTCTGGTTGGTGGATTGTTAATCACATGCCAAAAATTATTTTACCAATGCACAGGATGCAGCCACATTGACAAAACTAGAAGGCCTATCCCTTGGTGCCCACAAAGCAGCACATTTTAATCCCCATATTGGTGCAGCTCCTATTCTGGGACACTAACACTTCTCTTCTTGTGATACTGATTAGTTGCCCCCCAGGGCAATGAAGATACTAGAAAGTAAATGTACATGTACAGTAAGTGGTGTTCAGTGGTTTTTCAAATTTCCTCACACTGCTTTGGTCAATTAACCACTACCTGCTGGGGACTCCGAAATTGGAGCCGTACGGTTTATATGCGTGGCCGGGTCTCCGAACTCAGACAAAGGAAACAGGGCCCTGTAACAAAAGACCGTACTCCGAAAAAAAACCGTGCTGCTGGGCATTACCGGCATTATTCATTCTCAAAAGTGGGGATAATCCAGGGTTATTTTGAAACCGTACACCGGGGTTTGGGGCATTGAGAGCGAGCCGATTACCACCGGGGACAAAGGCGCTCCACCACCGCAGCGGTGAGCCACACAGTACCGCTGCATGCTAATCTGGCCCCTATTGAAAAGAGGTCAGCAGTGCACTGAGCCAGGTTCGTGAACAAAAGACAGTTATACAACACCACACAATCTGGGCTCTGTTTACAAGGCTGCTGGCGTGGCTGAAATACTCGGGCGTCAATGAAGGTCCCCTGTCAACTTAGAGTAGTGCCTAAAAGATTACTTGGTGCGGCTATAAATGACCGTTAAATGAAATGATGAATTTTTGAAGGATTTTGAAAACGGAAAAATTGATAGTCATGGCGGCCCAGCATCATCAACATTGAAGAATGCCCCGGCATGAAGTGGTTAACATGAATTTCCAAGTACATGCATTACTCAGTCAGGGATCACATTTTCAAACTGTACGGAGGTCTTTGATGTTGAGCTCACTCATTCCCCCCCCCCCCAACTTTGGAAATCACAGTCCTGCTACCAAACCTACACCTCCCTCCTACCAGGTAGTTTGTGTACACTGTGTGTGGCCTTCAAGCCAAATCTTCTAGGTACACTGTACATGTAAGTTCAGTATGGAAGGGGGGGGCTTATGCAAAGGCTAGATAATGTGGATCTGTCTGTGAACAACTTTAAGTCAAGTGCCTGTTTAAAGCGCTTTGATGATGCAATTTTTTATTACGGCCGTTACGTGTCCTTTTTCAACTTGTGCATGTACCAGTAGGTATTACAACTTGAATTCTGTGTGGTTTCTGTGGTTCTGATTGGTGGTGGTAAGAGGAATGGTTGGGGGAATAGGGAAATTGGGGGAAGGAAGGGAGGTAGATTTTGACATGTATTATTATTAGCATATTAGTGTTGAACAATGTCAATTTCCAGAGTGCATCAGTTTTCTTGCATATGTCCAGTGAACCTCCATTTATCAATTTAGACTATGAGAGAAAGGGTTGTGTCTGTCGAACAGAGTTTTTTATGTGCAGTAAGTATACGCTAGAAATCTAGCTCCAGTTCCCTCAAGTGTAAAGCTCATAAGCTTAGTGTCTCGAAGGTTTGATGGATTACAACACCTCCAGATTTTATCACCACTCTGACATTGTCTACAAACAACTGGAATCCTCTACACACTTTTTGAAAAAAAAAAAAATGAAGATCTTGACATCAGCAATATTATGTTGATATTGGTGATTTTTTTTGTCAACCCTAGTTTTTCATAAAGAATCAATGATACTTTGTTTTGTTTTCCCAAATACTTTACCGATTTCCATCAGCAGAGTAAAACTAACCTCATTTTGCTCCAATATGTAAGGTGTAGAACCCTAGGATTGAATCTGAATTACGGCTCACAAGTGTTCCGAAAATACTAGACACCACGCACTTAAACGAGCCAAATGTGAATAGACAGTGCACGATTAAAACAGAAATAAAATTGCACCAATGCCCTCATTTACACATCCATGGTCCTACAACTGTGTAGAACCAGTGTTTTTTTTTTCAGAACAATATGCAAACACCTTGACCCCAGTGCTTTAGATCTTATGTGATACAGTGTCTTCCAGTGGCATACGTACACAACCTCTACTTCCATTTTGGCATCTGGTACAGATATTCAAACAATGGATATTTATTTTGCTAGAAAACCAATAAACTGAAAACAATAAATTGAAAATTCAACCTTATAAAAAGACTAGCATGTACCTTATGGTTGAATTAAGAATTGAAAAGGTCATTTATTGTGACAATCATATTATTCGATACCTGCCAACTTTGATAGATAAAAAATTCCAACCAAACATTTCTGTGGCATGTCATATTAAAAGACAATTTCCAAATGGTTCGTGGTGCTGATGCTGTGGTTATTTAATGGTGACCGATTTTCAAGGAAATTCCTTCCCTACATTAAGTGTGGGTCGGGTTAACTAGAGAATACCTACCCAAACAGTCACTACAGTACATTGCATTTGAAAGTTAACACTGTGAAAAGGAATGGGAAAAAATGCAAAAGGAATTCACATTCATTTTCGCATTTTGACCACAACTTTCCCCCTGCGAAGTCGCAGCGAATCGGATGCAAAAGGGGCTAACGATGTGCAAAAACAGTGCAAAAATCATGCAAAAACGGTGCGACTTTTTTGCGAACACAGCATGAAACATTTGCGAAAACATTGAGAAAAAAACAGTGTGCGAAAACAGTGTGAAAATTTTGCAGAGGCAGTGCGAAAGAATCCAAAAATTATGCGGAAACTTGCAAAAATGAGAATCATGGTGCAGTGAAATACTCCACACTGGCCCCACGCGCACAACTATTATGCAGTGAAGTGTCCATTACGCAGGCTGTGCTGCGCTTGGAGCCGGTTGGGGCCAACTGCCCTGTTGTAGTTTAGCAGCGATCTCCTCGGCCGAGCCGTCTGGTCAATGCAGCCCAATGGCGAGCACGTGCTCACCATGGCAGGCTGTGCCTGCCTGGCGCAGTTGTTTTGTTGGATTACCATAAATAAACACTCGTCAACATCAGAGAATAATTTTAAAATGATGTCTGGATTTTTAGTAATTAAACGGGAGTCCCCACGTCATGAAGTCATGAAGCACATGAAATGTGTGTATTAAAACAACATTAACTTACTCTGCTGTGGCGACATGGGTTATTTGCCCACTTTTTATTTTATTTATTCTCGTGGTGTAGTTTGGCCAACAAAATAATCAACACTGATACTACATGTTGTATTTTGTTACTGAAAGGTTTCTTTCTACCGACACCTGACCGATAAATAAAATCAACTGCTTAAATTGTAAATGTATCTTCATGTATCAAATCTCGTCTTTTCGCTGCCAATTGTGTTCGGTGGGACACATCGGGTCTGTTTTCACTTGGGTTTCTTGATAACATGTAACTTTCTGTGGTCACGTGGTTATTGGAAAAAGTCAGCGATTGGACTATCCATGAATGGGTGGGTGTAGATGCAGTTTGTGTGCCGTGATGCAGCACGCGTGAGGTGGCGGTTTTTGGAGAGCTTAAGTTGGTGATGTTTTTGATCAACGTTACGAAAACGCTGAAATAACCGGATACAAGACATTTATTCCGAAATTACGGTACCTACATCTGCCAATACATGTAAACGTAATTCACATACATGACGACATGTGGATACATGTACACTTACATGTACATATACGTATCTGTACATGTGCACATATGTTGAGCGTCTATTCAACTCGGTTCTACGCTAGGCTGCGCAGTTATAACACTAAATTATGTACATACCCAGTGGTATGTCTGCGTCACGATGATAAATTTATCGCGACAGAACTGAAAAAGATAGGAAGACTGCCTGGAAAATGTTATTTGGGCGGGCCTACCGATGGTAGCCAGAGTAGCTCCAGAAGGCTGAGAAGGAGACGCGAGATTGGGTCTGCATCCGATCACCCGGGACAACAATCTGGGAACTTGGCCCAGAAAGTGCTACTGTGTGGATTACATCTGGATGCCCACATGCCGGAGGCTAGCTTAGTCGTATTTGCATGTAACAGCAGCCAGGAAAAATGGGGTAGTGGCTCATGTTTATTGAGGAGGGCACCCGATGGACTCTCACAATACATGTATAATCAAAGACAGACAGGAAAAGCATTTATAATATTTATAATTTATAATACAAGGTCATATTTATGGCAACGAATTTCTTTTCTTTCCTTTCTTTTAAATTCATTTATTTTCCATAACTGATAACATAAGGAATTTGTAACGTTTCAAGGACCCTGTTATAACAGTGTTCCACTCTGTACAACAGAGTAGTTGTCTTTGAGACGTTCTGCTTGAAGGCCCTAGATAAAGGGAAGAAGACAAGGAGATGTTGTCCAGGGTCGCTCCAGCCTTACAAGTGGGAGCGGTCCGCTAAGGCTAAGAGCCTACTTCATGAATGGGAGCCTCGTAGCAAGAGTATCTCAAGACGTGGGGCAGCCGGTTGACTGGCACGGGCGTGGTCAGTGAAGATGAAGGATCCAAAATCTGGAATATTTCATGGGCGGTGAGGACACCGATAAAATCGGTGTCATCTTCAACCAAAGAGATGGTGACTTTGCTTCGACTGAAGTAAGGCCGTGTTATAGTCAAGAGTCGAGGGAACCCATAGATTAACGGGTAGTTGAGCGGAGGACTGTCAGGCTGGAGCGGACTCGGACGCGTGCCAGGTTCTGGCTACAGACTAGAATATCTCCAAGCATGAA